CCAGTGTTCTTTGTTGGTTATCACAAACATTTCCATTACTGTTTCTAGTTGCACTGTGACTACTTGAACACCCCCACCCCGCATTGCTTTTATTCTGTTGTTCATGTTATCTTGTTTACTCTGTACTCCTGATGCTGCTGCTAGGTGATGTGAAACTACCCGGTGCCGAACGTCGAAGTTTGTACTATCGACGCTATGGGAATCCAAACTACGGTGGTATGACCGGGATTTTGAGTCGTTCATATCGTCGACGTTTGAAGTTGTCCCGTCACAAGGCCGGCGCGGATTCAGACGGAAATGTGCGTCACGTGCGTGTCTTACCAAGCGATTTTGCCGAGGCGATTGCAGATGCGTACGAATATTCCGATCTGGTGGACCCACCGGCACGGGCAAAAACGAAACCCGTAAAATCACTATCGCTCATATTTGGCAACCTCGACTCCATCACTGGTCCGTCCCCGGAACGTCCTCTTGTCGTTTACGATAATCTGTATGACGTGGATGAGCACAAATCCGGATCAGCAGGTGCTGGCAGATCAGATACGAGACGTAATAAGCCCCTAAATGGACTGAAAGTCAGTCCTGGCCAAAGGCGTGAAGCAGTCGGTAAGGATTGTTTTATTTACGTGCTGGGATATAAGAACTAGTACCACCGTATTGAAACTCCATCACTCTATATGCCTCTCCAGAATTTAATTTCAGCTCGGAAAATCCGATTATTCCATAGTAATTTTTGTGTGGATTAGATGCTTTTATCGTCAGAAAACTGGACACGGATCATCAAAAGTAATGATATTGTTCAATTATTGGCACACTACTTACTATGACTCCAATGAACGTTTCTGCTTTTGCCATGTATGCAATTGATTACTTTCAAACTACCATACGTTTTCGGAAGGCTGTACTCTTGTTGCGAAAATTTCTGATCATATAGAAAGAGAGCCAGGTAGGCAAAAAATCTTTCGGACAAGGCCAACATAAATTAAAAGGTCCCATCAAAATAATCGCTGAATCAAAAAGGTGGCTTATTGTAGTTCTAGTCATGCCTCGACCTACCTATTCTTATATCGAAACATGTATGTGTGTTCCGCTGTCAATACCGCTTCGAGAGAATTTGCTTATGTGGATCGATGACCCTGCTGGCTCTACCAGGATGACAATCGACCAATCCATCACGTGTTTTCAATCAAACAGTTGATGTCTCATCTAAACGAGCAATCAGAAATCCGTTGTTCACATTCTGACAATTGCTTGTATTTAGAACTAGTCAATGCGGGAATAGCTCACGCCAATCGGATGTTAAATAATCAGACTACCAACAGGTAATCTTTACTTGGTTTTACTTGGATCCATGAATGTTCTCCGGAGTATTGTTCGGAACAAAAATGTGCTATCATTTTAAATCCACATGAGCACTCTACAGCTATTTTGATTTGAGCGTCCTAAAACTAGCCCCGTTGGCACTTTCATCACGATTGCTACAGAACTTTATATCTCACTATGTAAATATGGGAACATTACAGTTTATCTCTTTAAACACCACACAGTTAGAAGCTTCTAAACGACTGGTACCGCTCAGTATAATGACCCTCCTTTCAGCTTAAAAGAATTGAGATGCTCGTTTTATCTCATCCTGATTCTCATTTTCAGGCTTTCCCCCCCCCTCCATGTATCCTGAGAATCTGTACTTGATTCCCTCCATTCCGAAGCATTAAATAAAAATAAGGAACGACCTGGAACACTGAACTTTGCGTAGTAACTCGCGTCCCAATCAGCGAAAACTACGCGTAGGCGTTCATTATGACGATACATATACTATCGAAGCACTTTCCTTCATACTATGGCTTACCTGTCTCGCTCTTGCCATCCAACCTGTACCGAGTCACACAAACCTCGTGGNGGAAACCTCTCTTTGCGGTGCACTTCCACGCATAAACTCAAAATCTTTCTGTCTTAAAGCAGAACTGCTCGCAGTATGCGCGACCTTTCGACTACACCGAAACGTCATCCGAACACCAATTTTATTTCCGTCCGGCGTACATCCCTCTAGCCGTGGTTGCATGTGTTGTCACCTTTTCCCCGTGGGTTATCATCGTGTCGCATAGCTACCTAGGAAAGCGCAGCAGCCAACCGCAGTCTATTCCTGACAGTCAAGCACCATCGCAGTTGCTATTCAATGGCACCATTTAGACATGTCAATCGAGGGGGCAACAGCTCTTGTGAATGTTTCACGAAAGTTGGTTCATATGGTTCATATGCTCGAAGAGATAACTGACATTCCATGCATACTCCAGACTGCAGAGCTTTTCTCCATTTTTTGAATAAGCAACGTCATTTGTGAGGTTTTTTGAGCAATGCTCTCTATTTTTTCTCTGATGAAATGGGGCAGAAACAGTGAAGTAAAACTCAGTTGACGCGTCACTGTTAGGTTATAGAAAAATAACGCGCGGTTTATTTTTAACTGTTTTCTTTGCAGTCCTAGGTGTCCGCGCACCTACAATAAAATTGATAAAATAATAAAGCAATAATTAGGGATGTTTTATTTCTTTTGCTTCGTTTTATTGAATACACGTGTACACAGTCATTTCTCTGAAAAGCGGCCCGCGGCCATACAAAGGCTGTCTGAGGAAGTACAGAAATGGGGAAAATGGGCCGTGGTGATATGATTCGAAATCACGACTTTCCGATCACTATTTTGATTACCTTAATCACTTGATCACCGTCATCTGATATGCACAGTACTTTCGTTCACCTGTACACCTGAAGGAGACTGGAACAGCAGGCAGTCATGAGTATGGTGTTGCCAAGCCAATTAGGGATCTAAAAGTTTCATATCTGCTGTCTCAGATAAACCAAACAATCCATCTAGGCGACCAACAAGTTAACTAACACGACGTACAGAACAATCGGCTGCAACCCATCTATAAATCATTTTCGAATGTTCCAATAACCATGAAATTAGTTCGTATAAATCTGCAAGCACTGAAAATGTCACCTCGGCCCGCGATGCAACTTTCACGAACAAACTGTCCAGCTGTGCACTGTTTTCTTTATTCACTAGCTGAGTGATTTACCAAAAGAAAGCAACCGAAACCGAAGCATTCTTATCAATTGCGTTAAACGATGAGGATTATGTTGGAGTGATTCTATATATAGCACATTACTCCTCGGACAGTAGCCTCGTATATCAAAACAGTCATCTTAGCCCATTACTGAATGAAAATGAAATTGGTGAGCCTGTGAATACGTTTCGTAGGATTTGCGAACTAACGGACAGTGACTGATTGTTTAATGCATTTTCGACCTAGCACAGTACTTATATATGGACAGTTCTTTTCATAACCATTCATATTCAGTTTGAACAACCATTAACCACGCATATTCGAGCGCCGGTTTTGGTTGCTGTCTTTTGGCTGCCCATTCGGATGAAGAATACGAGAGGAAAGGAAAGTGAAAAGTGGAATCGAAAAGAAAATGGAGAAGTTCAGTGGTCTAAGGTTGGGAAGAAATTGAGGAGATGCACGAACTCACTGTTTATGACACCCAGCCATATCACTTAGTGTCTCTAACCATCAGTTACGATCATCCTGAGGTCCCCAATCATTCATATTACCAACACATTAGTGATTTCTGTATTAAACTTAGCAAATGATCGCATTCCGACTAAAAACTCTGGTGTCCCCTTTATTACGCTACCTTTATCGTAATCATTTCGTACACATCAACAGATAAGTCAGTAGAATTATCCATAACCAATCTTGTTTAATTCACAAATAAGACGAGTAGCAGGACGCTGATCTGATCGACCGCGGAAAAGAAAATGAATCACATGTAGATGTGATCTGTTCATTCTTTTTTTTTAGGAAGAAATAGATTTTCACTTGGCCACTGAACTAGTAGCAGCACTCGCTAATAGCCAAAGCAAGGATTCAAAGCACCGTCCCTCGCTCTGAGCACCTCTGTCCGTTCAATTTATTAAACTGATGTGAAACTACCTGGTTTCTTCCTATGCATTTGTGATATTTTGTTTCATATTCGCTACGGGATGTAGCTAGTCAAGGTCACATCAGACCCATCGTATCTGTAAAAGTATCAATCCGGTGGCACCTGTCACGACCAGGAAGGTGTGTATGTGTGGTTCTTATTTCTCTTGGTTGGTTTGGAATCAGGGTGTTTAACCTTGTCCCTTTGGCGACCCATCCACAGCCTCTGGTGTTGACTTTTCGTCCTTACCCTTTCGTGGGGATACACGTGCACCACGGAAAGGCAGTGAGTAGNGAGTAGTGAGTAGGGCCTCCCCAGCAGAGGTTATTTGTAACGCTTGGTCGTATGGAAACATTTCGTACGGTTCAAGGGAAGGATTATCAGCCACAACCCGAGACAACCACCCCGACCATACGAAGGCTTTTATACTATAATATCACGAACGTAGCAACCGCTCTCATCCTCTCGTGTGGACCGGTGTGCGTGATAGTTTTCGTTTCATTGCGCGTTTTGCTGGCTTTAGTTGACGGATAATAATCGGCGATCGTTTGCACCAGTAGATTATTTGTAGCCAGAATACCGCACATCGCAATCTTTACGCGGCTTCATTCCTAATACCCCTGTACTTCCATGGTTTACTGAATGATCTATTTCTCAAACTCATTCACTATGTTCCTATCCTCATCGTGTTTATTTTACAGATTTTCCCACACCTGGTGCACAATGGCATCCCCGCAAATGGCCTCGCCGGGATAGAGGTCCACCACCAAACCGCTGGCTAACCGATGATTACCGATTCAGTCCGCCCGATGTGGACAATATCCGTGTTGTGGATCTACGCGAGCCGTGGGCCGCACAAGCTTCACCACTGCATGAACCATTCGTGTTTTCCGGCAAGAAAACAATCAATCGTCGTCGTGGTAGTGGAAGTGGGAGTGGTCCATTGCACCTAGACCCCCTGTCAACTGTTCCGGACGGGACCACGATCACATTGATGCCAGACACAGATCCCATCGAACCGGACGAAGATGAAAATGCTTATCGTGCCCGTCGACTTCTAGCCTCGATGAGCATGGTTGCAGATATGGAGGAGCACACGACCAGACAACGGTATTCATATTTCGTTCTCTATCATTTATCTCGTAACTGCTCGCTGCTGGTTATCTATCCAAACGCAAGTATATGCTTAAATCTCTTCTCTGGCTTGTTTGCTGGGGGTAAACTTGTCATTGATACATATCTGAGCTCCAATTGATTTTCAACTCTACCCTTTGTTTATACTACCTAGTCGGTTATTATTAGCTGTTTAGTTTCAATGGTACCTTTGTCCCGGGTACGGTCACTCGATAAGTTTCTTGCCCCAACGGGAAACTGTTCGAAATGGCGTTTAGCAACGTTTTCCACTCATGTGTGATTTGTTGAATGATTTCTGACTTCGTCGATGACAAAAACAGCCGTTTTCGCATATTCAAGGTCTGAAACACCGCAATTGGATGAATATTCTCTTAGTCTTCTTGTTTTATAAGAGAATTAGACAGCAGGTCTGTCGGTGTATTCAAGTACTTCCGTCGGTGTATCTTGTCTTACGGTCAAATTTGCAATGCACTGAAAGAGAACCACCGTTTTTCTCACTTTAGAGGGAGTTGTGCACACGTCGTGGTTTACTGCATAATGTTGTCAATTATTTCTTTTATATGCAAACGAGACCTGTTGCTGTTCAATCTAAATTGTGATTTTAGTTTAGAAAATCCGATTGACGGCTAAATGTTGTGACTTATTCTATGATCTGGTGAGAAGTCATCAAAACATCCCAGTGATGGACTCCAATCAATCACACCGTCATCAGCTACCGCTGGCGAGGATCCATTCAAAACTACCTCTATTACTAGTTAACAGCCGTGGATATAGGCCGTGCTCTGTTACTGGGCAGATTCTCCCTACACCTGTTAAACAATCGCAAAAAACCCACCGAAAACAGATGTCCACAGTTCAAGCGATAGTTGCGAATCGGCCTTCGAAGCGAAACTCACTGAGCGCCTCTCAGTTCGACTGCCGACCGAAAGACTCAGTGAAAACTAGGCGTTAATCGATAAGTTGATTCAACGAAGGCTTAGGACAGCACTAGCCTTCTTTTGTAATGCTAGGAAAAAACTCGCAAACGAATGTTTTGAGGCTTCATATCACTCTTGAATACAATGAATTTCCAGTACTATTTGCTTGAACGCTCTTACGGGATCAATACTGAAACTTTTTTCTTCCCTTTCTGTCTATCGACCCCAGAAAATAGTAATTTCAAATAGCTAGAGTTACTTTTACTTCAGATTGTATTGTTAATGGGAGTAACCTTAGCCTCCGAACGCCACAAACAAATAAAGGATTGAATTTGAATTGCAAGTATCTCTTATCCAACTACTCATAAGTAGCCCCATCCTTCATCAAAAAACATTTATATGTACTTGATTGATATTCTGACCGGATCTCTGTAATTCCTACATTTGAGTGGCAGAATTTATTTTCCGGATAAATATAATTTTTAATTGCTTGAAACCTTCCAAAAGAATTTCCAATTTCTTAGACGGAACGTTTAACACTTTCCCCCTATAACCTCACCCTACTGTTAACTAAATGCGTGTTGTGCTTTGAAGCCACGGTAGAGACTCTTCGATCGCACGGAGATCTTCCATTTTTCAAATCTTATTCCTAACCTTATTCCTACAGCCCTCTCAGTGGTCGACTGGGTATCCCTCACGGTCGCAGCAGTGGAGGCGGTGCAAGTGGACGTCGATCAGCGCACGACCAGCGACGTCGAAATCGCGACGTGTGGCAACGGCTGGGCTGATCCGTTTACTCTCTTTCTCTCACATGGTACCCGTATCTACTTTCTTCAATGCATGCATACGTATGTCGACCAACCTGTCGCGATTACACACACACACACTGCGCGCATGCAGTACGGTTACGCATTTGCTGTACAACTTCCCCTGTGTATACAAATTGCCCCATCCGTGCATTTGGGCTGTGCACAGGAGCTGCGCGTTTTGGCTGTGACGTGCCTATACACCTATACGTCTTCAGTACTCTACTGTCCCTATTAAAGAATGTGAAACCATACATACACACGCGCTGTTACTGCTCCTACCTGGGTTTTTCTGTTCGTTGAAATATGTTGGGCGTACTAAAAAAAAACGGTTGCTTAGAGATCGGAGTTCAAGTCTGCCATACTAGATGGGGATGAATGAACGGGTTCTTCGTGTTTCTGCTGTCTGTTCAGTTAAAGAATGTTGCATTTGTTGCTCAGAAATATCGAAGTATAAATTATTATGGCTGTCATTTTAATAAACAACTGATGTGATTTATCCTATAGTCGCAAGGCTTTACCAATCACGTATGAATACTGCCTATGTTAGAACCGGGACTTGAGAAGATGAACCACATGAGGCATCAGAAATTTGGCGTGATCATGAGACCGTGGCCGTGGCAAAGTTGCACATCACCACTTGCTAGTTAGGTGGAATGCTCAGATTAATGTGGGGAGATCTGCCGGGTGCANATTACATCAACGGAACGCACAGAGGTTCCTTTTGGAAATGGAAACCTATTTGTACATAACAGAAAGATTTATGTTGACCGATATTCTAAACAGACCTACTTAATGAATATATCCTCAGTTTCAGTTTTCACCCATTTGGATAAAAGAACATAAAAAAGCATCTGTTCCCCACATCACCTTGTGATCACCGCTCCTAGACTATTTCTTATTCACTTTTTAGCAAACCATTTGACATGGCATTTTGGTGTCATGTTGATCGTTTCACTTACAGTTTTCTCAACCATTAGCCATGCATTTTCACGCACCCGTTTTGGTTGCTATCTTTGGACTGTCCTCGTGGATAACAGAGTAGAATGAAGATTGGGATCAAAGTGAAGATAGAGAATTCGTATAGACTGGGGTTGCAAGAATAATGAGTAAATGCACGAGCGCCACTGTTGGTGACACCCAGCCATATCACCCAGAGTTTATAATCACCGGTTACCATGGCCTCAGGTTCCCATCCAGTTATCCTAACGGAACCTATGTGACCCAGTCTCCTGGTTAGGGTTTTCATACCCTCATACCAGGTCATAGCTTGACAGCCTTTGACATTGTACCAACCGCTTCCTGCCTCGGCAAACATCGCGCGCTGGGGCAAACTATTTTGTGCAGCACATGTCCCAACCAGCGTAATCTATGTACGTCGACTACTTGCTCCAGTGGACTATCACGATTACCTAAAACTCAACACCTAACCTAAGCCCTACTCGTCCGGTCACCCCACAGGACTCATGCAATGCGACCTAGACAACGGTGTTCGAACACTTGGAATCTGTTTTTATCCTGACCCCGTAATGGTCAAGTCTCTGCATTGTGGAGCAGCACTGGCCGAACTGCTGTAGCATATACTCGACCCCTCACGGACAGCCGGATGTCGCGACAGCGCCACAGATGTCTTAAGTTGGCAAATGCCAATGCGTGCCGACACTTCATCTGTGACACGTCCGCCAGGTGAGATATACCTGTCCAGCTAGCGAAATTCATCCACTTCCCCAGTCAGGGTGAAGTTGAAGGCTGGATCAACCCAATATTGTAGCAACACATTGCACTTTGAATGTGCGAAACGCATACCGAACATGGCTACGCCGACGACCAAACGATCCAGAAAAGCTTGCAACTTACCTGGATCTTCACTTAGGAGCACAATGTCGTCTGCATAATGTAGATCAAACAGTCTGTCACCTGGGAGTAAATCGATACCGCTATCCTCGCAGGAGGATAGGGCTGTTTCAAGAATTGAATCTAAATGGGGAGCCTTGGAAAGGAGTGTATGTGTTCTAAAATTTGACGAAGAGTGAAAATGTGGTCTGTACAACCTTGAGCAGGTCTAAAACCAGCCTGGTTCTCACGTGCGGTAGACAATGGACGGAGAAAACACCAGAGAGAAGTTTATAGACGATATTGATTAATTCCTCTGTGGTTTTTACGGGAGGACCTGTTGCCTTTCTTGTAAATGGGTAGGATCACCGCTTCAAACTATTCCATTGAAATCTGCTCCCTGCCTCACATTGAGCCAAGAAGTTCCGATAACTCAAAACCAAGGCTGAACCTCGGTGCTTAAAAACCGATGGGGACAGCCCATCCGGACAGGAAGCCTTATACCTTTGGAGATAACTTGGTTCTCGGGTAACCTCCAATTCAGATGAAGGACTGATGTCAACTGCAGTATATGCATAGTAGAGCATGTATAGGTTTAAGGTCTTGTATCGCGGGAGGCCAGCTGAACTGTGTCCTAAAATATGTTGCCCAACGTTCAAGATGGCTTTGCGGATGTTGAATGCGATATGCGGAGGCGGATCAAAAAATAACACAACACAGTAACCAGTACGATTATGGCCGGCTTCGCTTATAGCGGGCACCACCCGGCCAACAATACATTCAAAGTCATTAACAAAGTGCCCCAAAACAAATCGAAGTAAGTTCTTAAACGTCACCTGGCGACGGCAGCAGCTGTAGGAATCAAAATCATGAACCCACCATTATGCAAACAGAAGAAAATGGTTGCCTCGACCCCAACCAAACATACGTGATGATCTGAACCCGCTAGCAAAAAGAATGTATCATCATGATTTCAAGGCTTCAAAAATTTGATTTTGCTGTTGATCAGACAGATGTGGTATTCAATCCTACAAAGTATTAGACAAGCAACTACTCATGTGCATTACCTTATAGGTGGGAAAAGTTTGGCTGTACCACGAGATGCAGTGGTCGAGTTTCGAGCTGGGTTATCGCAGGTGACCCATGCATACGCTGACCGTGATATTTTTACTACAGATGAAATAGCTTTTTTATAACAAGCAGCTCCAAGAAAGAATATTAGATCTCACAGAAAAGACAGTTTATGAATCCTAGAAATCCAAAGAGTCACGTTACTGCTTTGTGGGAGCATGACTGGAGAAAAGTTAACACCGTTGATGATTGGAAAGTTTGAAACGCCACGATGCTTACGAGGTATAGATAGAAAGAGCCTTCCATGAAGTTATAATTCTTCACCGTTGGCTGTCCGATGTCAGCCGCAAGAGGGTCTTCCAAAGACACTCTATTCTACTATTTATGGATAACGCCCCATGCCATAATAAAGCCGCAGTATTCCCCAGTGTCAAAGCTGGATTCAAGCTCACACTGAATCGGCCGTGGGTGCATTCACCATAGGATAAATGCTATCTGGTTGAAGACTTTACTCATTATGTGTTTAGAATTTCACGATGAAGAATTGGGTTATCTAAATTTCATGCATCAAGTCTCGTTTTTAGTCATTAGATGAACTCGTTTCGAATCCAGCTAGGTGTCGCAAAGAAGAAGATTAATGTGGAGCATTTGATACGCCGGAAGTTATCTCAATTGGAGAAGCACTGGATCAATTGAAGCTGCTTGCCTTGACCAATGCTGGGGTTCCGGGTCCATCATTGGATTGTACATTTGACTTAAAGAACGCGTTTGTTGATTTCCAAGGGAGAACCAAGCTGAGACAATAGACGACTTATAATTGTTAGCTTCAAGTTTTTTTCTGTAATTCTGTGGGCACTCGAGTTTTTCCGTGGTCACCAAAGCCACTGCGGTGTATCCATGGGATCTGTCACACTAACATGCAAACGGGTGAACGATAATCGCGACTGATATGCGGATGTGTGGAATAAGATTTCAGATTCAAGCGATCGATAATCGCCGTTGCGCGGACGCCCCGGTGTGAATGAATGAACGATAATCACACTTGTCCTTGCTAGAGCACCGATGAACTTAGACAGGTCATTGGGTCATCGTAACCTGCGTCTGACTCGGCCCCGACCGTTTGAGCCCTGCACTTTTAATTTACGAATCACGAGCTGAACTTAATCCGTCGCTAAGGTTCAACGAAACTGGCGACAACGAATGTATCAATCGGTTTGAATATACACTGGCAACAGCAAAAGCGAATGAATGAATGAATGTCTACAGAGATAATGCTACACATTTTGCACCAGAAATTCATACTTTGCGAACAACCGGTTCGGAATGTGGGAAAGATATCAATGCGCTGCGTATATCCCGTAACAGATATTTCACTTATTTTAGATGACGTGATTTCCTTCGGATGTGATTTTTGTCCCGTGTTCTCACTGCTCGACCTGGTTCATTCTTGTTTTCATCGAGTGGGTGAATATTGATGTTGTGATTATTATAGCTAAAACAGTTGTACATTATGGTGGACGCCATATACTCAATCCTGTGATTAGCCTAACGTCATACGAATGGAGGAAAATCTGGAGTTAATATGTAGTAATTTGATTTTTTTTAAATTCACTGAAGAAAGGTAAGTAGGCTCGGGATACCTAGACGCTTGATATTGAAAAAGAGCTTAATACCGAATGCAATGTACTAATATAAGGCTGAGGTTAAGCATAAACATTTCAGTTTCTCTTATATATAAATGATACGTGGGACGGTATATTGAAACTCAATTATAAACAAACAGTACATAATTAAGAACATTGAGAAAAAGTGACGGAATTTTCATCGATCCTGTCTATTTTGTCATAAAACTCCCAATCTATTTTTATACTACTTGTTAGCATTTACTACGGACCAACTTGCTATGTCACAGTTCCTGTAATTTACCCACTTTTTCGAATTCCCGAGGGGATACGACATATCAAGAGGTTGGCTGTATTGATTTTCTTGTATCTAGTGCAATGCAGGGAACAGATCCACACGCTGTGCCACATTACTCTGTTTAAGCTCCTCGATCGCTCTCGGTTTCCGGGAATAAACGGTTCGCTTTAGATATCCCCAGAGAGAGAAGTCCAAGGGGGACAGATCAGGTGACCTTGGAGGCCGCAGATCTAGGAATATGATCCAATCAGATCACACAAAGGGTCAGAGGGAATTTACTTGTTCAGTGTCACAGGTGAGAGGGGCAAGACGATGTGTAACGATGGAGCAATCGGACTGTACTGGAACTGGGACTTAAACTTGAATGAAGAGGTCAAATGATGCAGCATGCGAGTGTGCAGTTGCAATGAAATGATCCTTTACAGATTTTGCACACCACTGGTTGGGGTCCTCTATTCGAAATCACAATGAAGGTGGATTAGCCTGAAAATCCCGCTTGTAGTGGCTTCCTTTATGCGCGTAACTTGGACAGGGAAGTTTATGGTGAGGAAATCGACTTCCCTCTCTCCCGGAACCGAAGCTCTTAAATCGACGTAGATATGTCAGACGACTAGTGTTACACGTCTGCTTCGAAAATGGAGTGTGTTGTACTTCCACCAGGGGTTTCTGAATTCCTGCACCAGGTGTTTGTGAAACTGCCCCCTTGACTGGCAGAATTGATGCTCAAGCTTGAATTAATAACACACAGTTTTAATCGACGTAAACAAAAAGAACCGTTGTGAACACAATGGTAAGATCGGATCCTATTACTTCTGTCTTGATCAGGTCAATCCGATCGGGCTGTATCGCAAGCGGTAAGATAATACAGTGACCAAAGAATTACTCTTTTGTATCTTGTGTTAGTAATTTACGTTAATCTTTCGCTCTGTCTTATTCTATTCAACGAGCTTAAACGATAACGGTTCGCAACATCTGGTTGAGCCACATTTACCGTCTCAATAACTAGATCATCTGATGCCTGCTTGTGCATCTTTTGAGTAGATCCTTATATTTCAATTCTGTTCCGGACAAAACGTTCCGTTGTCAGCCTATACCGGGAAGTCACTGAGCAGAACCAGAGACATGTCCATGGGAAGACTGTTCCCAAATTGGTTGAAAATGAAATCAATCGGTAGTAGTGTTGTGTACAGTGTAAAATAGGCGATTTACTTCACTCGATTTGTTTGGTCCGCGATCTTGCCTAACTGATAGAACACTCATTGGTCCTAAACCAATGCACAGGCTCGGTATCACCCTATTCAAGAAAGTACTTGGATAGCTAAAAATTTCTAAGTTGCTCCGTGATCAAAAGTTTTTCACTGCGAAGCAGTTTGGGAGGTATTTTTTCTATCTAAAAATACACACAATGAATAAGTCACTCATCATTGAAAGGCCTTGAAAGTATTACACAACCTGCTCGATCTTACTAGGAATTGTCACGTCTGAAACCACAAATTGTACTTGCTCTCAACAGTTCCTTCCATCTAAAAAGTCACTTATTGTAATGTTTTTTAAGGAGCTGCAACTGTACGATCGTTCTTCCAGATGGCGGTAGTCATTTGAAGCCTTTCAGTGAGTAGAAACCACGGCTTGAATAAACAATCTACCAGTTGAATTGCTTGCATCACTCAACAAATCCACGTTTTCTGCCCGCATTCAAGACAGACTGACACCGATTTGTTGGTTCGCCAACCATGTGCCACCAATTGTTTGCTCTGAAGCGGNAGCGGTATTGAGATAGCATGATATGACATGCTCTGTGATGGTTACCCACAAACCGAGCTTTCATTAATAGTTCATCTACTTCATTTCAACTGAGCTCTGTCATGAACGGGTGTATTAATTCAATGGGGTCGTCAGATGATTCCTTCGACCCATGTTTTCCATGAATCAACATAACCATGGTTGAAAGGTTGAAAGATATCTCCTTGACATACTCTGCATGAGAGCCCTCGCTAATCTGAACCAAATATCAGCACGCTATCATATTAGGGTCAATTTTATTATTAAATGTATACACGAAATTCATTCCGCATGTTTGATGAAGAATGTTCACATCCAACAATGCGGATCTCATGGAATAGTAATAATTGATGCACTTTTTTGTGTGACTAAAAAACAAGACAGAAATAAAGTCACCAGGGTTCGGGGGTAGACGGGGTGGGGTGCTTGGCCTTTTATGCTGCATTTGAGCTTGAAATTACACATACACACACACACTGTTCACCGGTGGAAATATTATGTCACACTAGCGGTTCCGGTTCCCGTAGTTCCTGGAGTGTTTTGTCCGTTCCGACATCTGTACTATTCAAATCCACACAAGTGATGTAGTTTAGTTCGTGTGCACTTTCATGCACCGGCTCTGTGCCGCTAGTTCGCTTCTCACTACGCATTCCATCCAAGATAATGCTGAGTAGGGTGGAAAATTCTTGTGCTGTTGGTCGGCGTTTCGGATCCGCCTGCCATGCTCGACACATCATATACCACAATTCATCATCCACCAACCGCGGTCGGACCAATGCCGGTGGGGCCTGGGCAGTGGTATTTGTACAGTTACGAAAATGAATCTGAAGCTGGAGAACTAAATCCTCGGCGCTGCGCACATGCACAAACGGTTTCTTACTTTCCAGATGAAACAGTTGCCAGAATAGCAGGCCCAGTTCCCAGACATCCGAGGCCAGATAGAATGTTTGTTCCCGAAGGGCTTCAAGTGGTAAAATACGAAATGGGAGCTGTTTTTGAAATGATGTGATACGATAAGACTCGTCTCGAATAGTCTCTGAGTCGGTGCGAACGATGCGTACTGCAAGGCCGAAATCACATATTCTTGGTGTGTGACACGCATCGACCAGAACATTTCTTGTAGCCAAGTCACGATGAATAATCCCGGACCGGGCAAGGAAATCCACTCCATTCGCGATACCCCAAGCCAGTTCATACAAGGTCTGATAAGTCAAACGATAGGATGGGTTTGATTCAGTCATGCATGAATGTGGCGCGTTGGTGAAGTCCACTGAGACTGCTTCTTTGGGAATAGTGGGATCTGTGCCTAAGTCTGTGCCGTTCATACTGTACACGCCTGAATCGCATGAATGAATGCTTGTTTTCTGCGCTCGGTTATCAGTTCCGGTCAGTTGTGATGCGTGTTTTCGCACAAACTCAGCCAAACTTCGGTGTTCACAATACTCAAGCACCAAGTATGTATCACTTAAATCCCGTCGAGTGCCCACTATCAGTCCAAGCATACGAGCAATGTTTGCCCCTTCAGAAAGTCCAGGTAAAATCTGAATTTCATTGCGTAAACATTGACTGCTACTCAATTCCTCTGAGGCTGTTTTAATGGCTACTGGTACCCTAACTGGTGAGTGTGGTGCGACCTGGGGTTCCGTGTACCAACCTTTGATAACACGACCATAATGTCCCAGCCCCAAGTGTAAACCGGTCACTTCGACACAGTCTTTGGGTATGTGCCATCGGAACAGTTGTTCTACCGAACCAAGCAGATAAACCAGTTCACGGACGGCGTCACTTTCTATCCCCAGTTTGCAGCAAATAGATATGTCCGCTTCATCTTGCCGGCGATAATACACACTTTGTGAAGGTTTCGTATAAAGTGCATTCGCTATCGGATGTAGCCCGGATTCCTCGATCTTTTTTCTTGTACGACGATAAACACATAAAGATATGATGATCAGCGTAGCGAATACCAGGAGAATTAATGAACATAGACTGATCATCCAGCGTGCTTCTGTCAGTCCCCATGCATTGCGGGTAACATTGTGAGTCGCTTTTGCCAATATGGAGGAGGGGGAAGCGAAAAGCCGAAGTTCACTCAGAAACAGACTCTTGATCACCGTGGTTTGGTGGCTTGTAGCTCGACATCTAACTTGCTCAGCTTGTGAAAGCTCCGATGACCATGTTGTGAAGTTACACACTTGTGTGTCAGATAAAGAGTTCGGCTGATATGATGCGGGACATGCGTGAAGCATGATCCATTCAGATGTGTTGTGTTGGTCTGCATCGTGTAAGCGAAGCTCCCAGTAAATGTTCGGTAGAGGAAATCCTTCCGCTCGACAGTACCAGTTGATGGGCGACCCAGATGGGTCGCCTGTTGTTCGCACATCTACTGCTTGAGCGTCTGTAATAATTGGCCCGGTGGGATGAACCGGTTGAACAATCACTTTAATGGAATGATTGGCATATCGGCATTCCGGTTGAATTCTCTGGATAGGGTTCAATTTAATGTGTGTTGTCCGCGAATACGGACTTAAGCGCCAGCTCTGTTGTGCCACTAAAGTATGTGTTCCAGTCGACACATTCCAACCGTGGATCGAGGGCCACAATTGAGGAGACAAATTTCTTGTTTCGTTCAGCGGTAGACCACCCGAGACAATACATTCCAGTTCGTATGGAACCGATTCCAGAGTATAGAATGTGCTGATACCTTTGATCCTATCGGGCACCGTTTGAGTTGGCATTTCTTTTTGTCGTAGAATTAGCATGAAGGTACTGGGTTGTGGAGCTGATGTGTTTTGTGCAGTCGAGTCGATCAGAGGCCACTCTGTCAGAGGATGACATTCTACTGATCCGTACCACATTAGCTGTTCCATGTAGACTGAACGGCATCGAGCACAAATGACTCGAGGTCCTCTGACTGGTATCGGTTGACCTGTATGGGGAAATTCTGCGACCAACTGATTTGAATCGACATGATAGGACCAAGCCAATGTGGAATTCTCCTCGTGTAGCGGTTGAAGTACCAGAGTGGGGTGATGCTGTGACAAGTTAAACGCGTGTGTTAGGCCCTGTGGTCCATCACGCAATTCAATATCCCATATGTAACTAAACGAGACTGGATTTGGGATCTGATTCGCGTTGAACAAATGCACCAGAGCTTGCTCTTGTTTGGTTCGGACACAACTCAGTTGCATAATATGACGTACATTGCCATGCAGTCCACGTAGTTTCGGACCGGTCCCATTCAACGCGGGAGTGTTATAGATCAGGATGGACTGGGACAAATTCGCATAGCGAATCCAAATTGATACATTCGTGGCCTCGTTTGGTTGACGCCATCGTACGTCACATTGCCAGGTGTCATGCGCACGCATTATCGGGCGAATAGATCCGGTGGACAGAGTCTGATTGAATGTACAAGTTGGCCATCCGGATGTCTCGTGTTCCGCCCAGAAGTGAATACTTAAGTAGACCATAAAACTGGTGGTGTTATCAGACAGGTTATTTGTAAAAAGGACTGTTGTGTGATTGTTCTGTTCCTGTTCCGGTGTACGATTTGTTAGTAAAATTCTCATCGATTGTTGATTGTGAGCCGCGATTGACCATAACAACCGGTTCGTTTTGGATCTGACCGGTACAATACGGATGTGGGCAGCAACAGCTGGTGCCACACGGGTCGGTGTACGAATCTGACAGCCCACGGTGATTGGATGGTGAATCGGTGGCAGTTCTATTTCGTCTGTGCCGTACACAGCCCACGGAGCCTTGGTTGTGGTTTGGATTGATGGACATGCATTCAGTTGCCATTTTTCGTTGTTAGTGGTGGTGTTGTTGTATGCGTTTACGTGGTGGTCGTCGGACACGCTCATCTGTGCAAATAAAGAAAGAGAGTGAGTGAAAATATTTCTCGCGCCTGGCAATTTGGTGTATGGTTGTAAAAAAGGGCGGTTAACCAATAGTAATGTCTGACTATCCCTTGGGCATCATATTGCGGGTGTACGTACTGTCCTGTCGAGGGTTCTATCTCAGGATAAATATAAATACAAACTGAATAAATCACCATAGGCATATTGATTCTCTGATCAATTCGACTTATTCGGAAAGTCGCCAAATTCGAAGGTCCCTCGCTCGAGTCAGGAAAACATTGCTTTATTAAAATTGTTTTCCTTACAAATCTGACGACCAACAGTGTACCATTTGACAGTTAAACTCGTGGTCGGGGGAATTCAACTTGACCGAAATGGGTACCTGATAGTGCTCGACTGATGCGAAAATTTGATGGAAAAGAGGAGAATGAAGTGTCGTATTTCAGACAGATAATCAGTGTACATACTGAATTTATTGTTGAAAAGCCCGTGTACAACTGTTTCTATCATCAATTCCGGTCTGGTCAGACAATTAATTCAAAAGACCCCGCATGTGCCACATGAATTTTGATTGCGAAGTTGACTACTGCGCACATCACACCGATGCCGAGTAATTTATACACTCAAAATACATCATTTCGAATGACCAGTTTTCAGATAACACCTTCACACACAGTCGTCAATTCACACAATCAACCTCAAATTATTCAAGATGAAATCTGGACAAAGTTGAATCGGTAGTTCCGATCGGCCTCGGTGGGACCGGATTAATACGGTAGCACTATGAACACCTTTCGATCCCGGACTAACGGATTACTGATGATCCCCAACCAGAGCGAAACTCGAGTCTGGTGCTTGCAGATGGTCTGTATGATTGCATGAAACACAATCAACTAAAGCTTCAGTTCGTTCAGGGAACAATTTCAGAGTTGAATTATGTCATTGGATTGGTAGGCCCGTACGGAAGAACGCACTGCATTGAAACGAACGTTGATTGAATGTTCTGATAACAGATGTTCGTATTTCATACATATTTTGCGCAATACTTATCTGTGATCAAACCGAGTTGAACACATTCTTAAACTTTTCCGTCCCCCACCCCGCCCGATAAATGAACATCAGGATGACTGTACAATGAATTTGTCACAAACAAAACAACGAACATATGAATCGAAAATTCTGGCAGCCCGTAAAACAAGTTGGCCTTGTTGGATTTCGATAGCAGTGCAAATTCATCCATTCTGAGGAAGATTGAATCTGAGACCTCATCGGTGGAACGCACTCAAGCCCCTTACTTGAACACCGAGCGGATCGTCTGAGCATTTCACTTTGGCAATACAGTTTCAGTTCAGTTTGTACAACCATTAACCATGCACTTTCGTGCTCCGGTTTTGGTTACTGTCTATTGGCCACCCATTAAGATGAACAGTAAAAGAAAGACAGGGAAGTTGAAAGTGGAGTCAAATAGAAAATGGAGAATTTCATTGAGTTAATGTTGCAAGGAATTTGAGAAGATGCAAGAACGCCATTGTTTATGACTCAGCCATATCACTCAGTATCTATAACCATGGGTTACCATCATTCTGAGGTCCCCAGCCACGGAGCCTAACAGGACCTGTGACCCAGATTCCTCGTTAAGGTTTTCATACCCTCATTCCAGGTCCTAGCTTGGCCACTCTTGACCTTCTTCCACCCACTACCTGCCTCGGTGAACATCGCTCGCCGTGGCAACATATTTGGTGACATGTGTAACATGCGTACCATGCCGCAACCAGCGTACTCTATGGAGGTCGATCATTTGCTCCCATGGGCGACCACGATTGCCTAAAACTCTGCGCCTTACCTCGGTATTGCTCGTCCGTCTGACCCACCAGGTTCGTGCAATGCTGCCTAGACAGTGGTGTTCAAATACCGACAGTCTATCTTTATCCTGTTTTCTTAATGACCAAGTTTCTGCGCTGTAAAGCAGAATTGGCCGAACTGTCGCGGCATACACTCGACCCTTTACAGACAATCGGATGTCGTGACGGCGCCGCAGATGTCTCAAGTTGGCAAATGCCAACCGAGCCTTCTGTATGCGCGCCGATACTTCATCCATGATACGTCCACCGGGTGAGATGTAGCTGCCCAGATAACAAAACCCATCCATCTGCTCTTTTACTTCCCCAGTTCGAATGAGGCTAGGTGCTGGACTAACCAAATCTTGTACCACTTGTACCACTTTGAAAGTGAAAGACGTATACCGAACAAGGCTACACTATAACTCAAACTATCCAGAAGAGCTTGTAAGTTAACTGGATCTTTACTTAGTAATACAATACCACCTGCATACTCTAGGTGAGACAGTCTGCCACCTGGGAGTACCTCGATACCGCTATCCTAGCAGGAGGATAGCGCTGTTTCAAGAATTATATATATGGCAGAGTTATATAGAAACGGAGAGATAGGGCATTCCAGACGAACACCACTTTTCTGTAGTGAACTTGAACGAAAAACTGTCGTGAGCTCGGACTCGGCTTCGGTTGTAAGTATAAAGAGATCGCAAAATTGAAGTAAACTCTTCGGTCCATCCTTCAGAGAAAGAAAGTGGCAGAGTTTATGGCGGTCGACTGAGTCGAAGGCCGCTTTCATATCGAGAAAGACAGAGATCGTTGATCTACGAAAAGAATGTCGATGCTTGAGGACTTGAAAGAGAGTAAATATGTGGTTGATACAACCTCGACCAGGTCTTAAACCAGCCTGGTTCTCACGTGTGCACCGTTCACGTGCGGCAGACAATCGAAGGAGTATGATGTCAATGAGTCAATGTTGATTAAACTAATTCCTCTGTGGTTTTTACAAAAGGATCTGTCACCGTTCGTGTAAATCGGTGATGGCAATACATGATACGGCTCATTGAATTCTCATTGTACGCATGAGGCCACCTGCTAAAAGGTGACGAATCATTTTCAACTTGGATGAAAGATGATCAGAACACAGATTGCAAGTGAGTCGACCGTTTTCGATGAGTTCATTCTCAAGCCATCACAATCACATTTATGAAAAAAGGAACAACGGAAGGACAATGTGTTAGGGTGAAACAGTCGAGGTCAAATAATAATAGCAGAGGAGTGGGGAGGGAAAAATCTTTCTCGAGTTCTCTTGTTCAGATATTAACAGGTTATGTAACCGTTGGTAATTTATTTGGGTCATCACCCTGCTCATGTGTGATGTTATCGACTTTAAGTTAGAAGCCAAGCGTGTGAACCAGTTTTTATGTGCATACAGTTCTGATTTTAACAATTAGAGGACACTTGCCTCAGCTATTGTTAGGCTTCTTTGTGGGACGGGGTAAATCACAGTGAAAGTCGATTCAATGTCTACCACAGGCCCAGTCTCAACCAAGTGAGTAGCAATTGAACTAAAGTTAACCCACACACCCTTCATTGGTTGATATTCCTTGGTGCGCTGCTGCCTTGTAGCACAATTCACGCAAGTGGCAGCACTGGTGCACTTGGCTTGTTGGATAGGTATTGACGAGGTTAATAAAGGCAATTTATTCTTTTTCTGATAGTGGATGACGGGTAATACCGAGAACGCGCCTCTGGGTTTGGAAGCATTAAACGTTGTCCTAGCTACGCCACCGATGACTCTAGGATCCACTTCGGTTGCTGAATCTCTTTCGAATGGTTGCCTGATGAGCAGTCTCTTTTTCTCAGCTCTAAATGAAGGCATCCGGTACTTTTAAACAGACAAGTTAACATCAATAAACGTTTCTGGATAGCCATTTTCCAACAAAGTCCTCCCCAAAACTAAAAGTCCCCTTTCTAATGTGTCTTTGGAGTAGGCGTGTTTCGTTTTAATTATAGGACAGTGTACCAAATTACACTTCTGGGTGAGCCGTAAAAACACCCGAACGTTTGTCTTTTCGAGCCCCTGGATGGATCCATCTGAATATCTCATTAGCATAATAGCGAGGAATAGCGGGAATAGACTGTGTTCATTCTTCTTCTCCACTGTGAAGCATATCACCAAATGTGCCATATTAAATTTCAACAAAAAATCAACATGAACAGGAAATTTCACCCACATACCTCTATATATTGATCGAACTCATGCGACACCCCGAATTTCATTAGATTCTTTCCTCCCAACGCCTAGCGTTTTGAATTTCACTGACGGGATTCAATATGACGCTACTACTACTACTTAATAGCTTTCATCAACTGACTTCAGCTACAATTCAAATTGAGCCATCCAGACCAATCCGCCCGGACTATGCTCGATATTGGTGGTGGGCAGCTTTTCTCAGCTGCAACCGAATTTATTCAGTGCATTACTTCAATGCGATCGGGTTTCTTTTACTGCGTTGATATCTTGGTGAAAACATTCCCTTGATTACTCTATAAATTTGAATAATGTTTACATCGATGCACTTGCGAAATTCAGGAACTGAGACATCCCATTTATTGGGCCTCTCGAATACGTTACCTCTCGGCCTCACTTGTATGCCAGAACCCCATGAATGTTTTGTTCGTTTGGAGCATGGTGGCATTACAAGTGTGTATTCAAAGAGCCGCCCACTTTAAGGTCAACTTCTGAAGGCTAATTTTCACGTTCATAATAAGAGATTTAATGTGAGGGTTATGTTGCACGAGTTCAATCAATATCTGATCGAAGTTGTTGATAACCGTGATTACTGAACCGGTCTCTAATTTTGTCATAAAAATGCACTCAATAACTAACTCGAAGGGTGACAACATAGCGAATGCCACATGAATGCTAGTGTAACGGTTTGAGAGAATAAACTCACCGAAAACATTTGCTTGACTACTATATGTGTGTGTTCTGTTTGTAATAACTGATGGACATGCTGAAACATTCGGACAGCGGGGCGGATGGATATTCACCCACAGCTATTGAGACGGAAGCATTTTCACCCGGACCCCATGGCGACGCCATTTGCCTTCAGCAAGGTCTCATTAACCCCTCTTTTGAAGCTGATATCACCAGAAATATGTACG